CACGCACGCACGCACGCACGCACGCACACACACACACACACACACACACACACACACACACACACACACACACACACAAAGAAAGAAGGGGGCAGGAGGTGCTTAGTAGAAATGTGTAGATTTTAGAAAGAAAGGATTATTGTGTTGACTTTAATTCTATGTACAGATATGGAGGGTTGTTATTTATTTATCACTATTTGTAAATATACAAATAAAACAATTTTGATGACTAGTGATAAATTTGACTGTCTTGTGTGACGCCTTTGTTTAGGTTTAGCACGTTCTCACCCTATTCTTTTGCTTCATATGCCCTTCCCACTCTAATTTCATAAGCACAACGTAATATATAGATAAGTATATTGAGAGATATAGAGATAAATGCACAGACTACGTAATTAGGAGGTTCCTTGCATTGCCTCAGAAGTGGCGTGTTCTTGTTGAAAATATTCAGAAACATGTGGTTATATATATTGAAGAGAAAAAACCCAGGGTTTTTTGTTTATTGTTAATTGTGAAGTTGGCATCGTGTGTCTGCACTCTTATGTCGTTGTCCACTCAAGATGCTTCTGGTAGAATGATATATATGATATACAAACCACATAGTGTATGCAACCGTAAACGTGGCGGTGCTTTCGGTCGTAAAAATGACAGAGTGGGGAAATGTTTATTGAAAATATTGTAATAACTTTTCCTTGTTTAGGCTGTTGATGGTTTGGCTGACAGTAGGCAGCCAACTAAAGGAGCAAGATGTCCTAGACTGCACCACTCAAAACACTGCCTCTTACTACTGCCTAAATTCGATTCATTTTTCCCCTATCATGGTATTCCCGCGTACAGAGTCGTTCCTCGCCTTTTCCTGCAGACAAACTGCACAGGAACCCATCTAACCAGTAGGTGGCGCAACATGTCAGGTGTCAAGTGCCAACGGGAGTATCCCTCCTTTGAAACGTTGGTAGCCCATACGCACCCATGTCATACTGATCCCACTCTACGCAACACAGTGTACAGTAGAATCGCTATATTATATTAGATATATATATACAACGTGATACATAAATCTGCCTCAGAACACTATAGCTCGCATCTCGACATGCCGTAGTAGCCTATGTGGGAAGCGTTCATCAACATATGGCTTGTCAGGTATACACGCATGTCTTGCGATTTATTTTATTGGTCGTTATTGGTGAAGTCGGGCCCATCTGTTTACATTCTTCGGCGTTGTTTTTATGTGGTTTCGACGTGTTTACAGTCGTCTCGTCGACAGCGATGACTCACAGTCATTCTCCAATATAGTATCTACAACAAGGTGGCGCCACAGTAGACGGTTGCGCTTCGCGGAGGAAAGTGGCAGGAGCATACAATCAATATACGAGCGTTCGTAAACGCAGTCACGTTGCAAACGAGTAGCTTCCGAGTTTTTATTCTCTGGCAATCACCACAACACGGTGCACGGGAATGAAAGCACGTGGGTCGAGTGTAAACTACAGTCGTCATTACTCACAGTAACGCTCACCAGCACGTGTAGCAGGGACGTCTGGCTCGACTCGTGCAGTGCGTGCCTGGGGTGCCTGCACATCCGGCCAATTACGGTTGCGGGTTACGGTAGCTTGTTCGTTCTTAGGTTATATTCGTATTGTTTCTAGAAGCTTTTCGTTGGAGAGATTAGTCCTATCGCAAGCCTGTCTAATGAATCTCGATTGGCAATCGATATTGTCGACAATTTTGTTTAGCATTTAACAGCGCATAGGATTTCACGATTGATATAGCGAAATTTTTATTACCGAGGTAGTATAATTATATCCTAAGTAATGTATTTTTGATAATATATATATGACAGCAAATAGGCCGACTTAGGATTATGTGCTGTTGTATTTGAGCCAGCTAGTGCCTGATCGGGCGTGTCCGTCCGTACGTGCGCGCTCGCGTGTATTGCTCGTGCAAGTTTATAGCAAACATGATGGTGGATGGAGTGATCGAATACAACATACACACAGGCAAAGAGAAACTAATAGCTGAATATGGTTTGCAACTTTATTTGAAATATTCATACTTGTGCGTGGCATTGGTTTAATACAACCTCGTTTTATGTATATGTTTCTAACCTCGTTTATAATTCTCTTATTAACCAGCGTTAAAGCGGCGTTATACACAAAACAACATGCTTCGCCAGCCTGAGCGCTATGAGCTCACATGGTTCCCCGTCAGATTACCCGAAAGTTACCATTTCAAACACAAAATCAAATTAATTTTCTATTATAACGGAACTGCCATTTTTTACTTTTAAATCTAGACAATCCATAAGCAGGGATCACCCAATATAAACATTACAGTTATATGTCTACCATTATATATTATATTATTTTATTATATAAAAT